GAAAATGTATTTCCAATAATACATACTTCTGCTGACACTCCCCCGCCCTTCCTCCTCACTAAGAGCCAGTGTTAGTGACTGGGATGGTGTAAGTCTTGAAAAAGTGATTACATTATCTGAGTGAGGTGCTCATATACAGTGTCAGTATAGAGGGTACATTGATGCAGGTGGAGTAATTTGCAAGTTAGATATTACCAAGGGCATTTAAGTGAGATATATAAAAACTGGAGCATGCGAGACCAGTGCTTAGATAGGCAAAGCTAACATCGAGAAATAGTCAAAGTGTCAGCGGAGGTAAGTAATATTGTAAATCCATTTTCAATTTAGGAAAATGTTAACTTTCTTATGTTCAGTAGTTTGAGAAAACAGGAATTTCTACTCCTTTGTTTCTGTTGCTGATTTAGTTTTAATATGATTTTTTAAGAACTTTAATTTACAATACTTACTTCATATATAGATATACATAAAAACTTGACTTAGAATTCATGGTTTGCATTTTATAGATAGTGAGACAGAATAAACCTGTTTTTGTGGAAGAATATTTATGTTCATGTGTGAAAACTGAACTTTAGATGATTTGTTTCAGATTAACAACAGTGATGTGTTTGATTCTAATTTTTTAAGCACCCTGTACTTAAAATGTATCTTTCAAACTGATTATATATGTTTTCTATATATATCTTATATACAGGAATATATATGAGTGTGTGTGTGTTACACTTAACATTAGAAGACATCTTGTATTTTTTTAAATCATTTATTGGAAATGAAATGTCTTTCTGCTCAGTGATAGTTATATATTCATTTACTTTTTTTTCTTTAAACCTAAGAAACATTAAAAAGTTAATCTCTGCCAAGAACATTTTATGGTATTTTAATGCTACCTACAGTATGCAAAAATATTCAGTTCTGTCTACTGTAGTTTAAAAAATGCTTTAAAAGATATATGTGTGTGTGAATTTAGTAGTATTTGAAAAAAATAGCTGTTTTGTTGAGTGTGACATGCAAGCTATGAATAATCAAAACATGTATTACTATATTAGAGTGAACCAGAATCTATCTATAAAGTAATTAAAGTTGCTAAAGCTGATTTGAATTATTTTTTCAGCAGGTATATGCACTTTATTTTTTAAGGATCTTAGAAAATCAGGGTGTATGGTTGCCCAAAACCTGTAAAAGTCAAATTTAAAAAAAGGGGGCATCAAGAAGTCTGGGAAAATTGAAAAATGACCTTGAAACCTTAAAAGAAATAGGGAAAATAGTGAAGCTTCCCTTTTTTTTATTCTCAGAACCTGTATATGCATGCAGGTGGAAACTTCCCCTAAGCTCAAAACTTCCCCCATACATGTATGGTAGTTTTGAGGGTTTCATTTCAAGGTGATAACTTTTGGTGTGAAAAAGCTAGATAAGCATAAAACTGTACCATTTGAAAAATATTGCACCTTTGGCACTTGACTGCCCCTAGCACCAAATCCTTTCTTTTAGAAGGGATTCTGAAAGAAAATCCTGGACATGCTGTATTAACTTTGTGTATTTAGTCTTGGTTAGTTCTCTGTTTTATTGTATGTCTTGTTAACCATCTAATTCATTATATGTGATAATAGGTTAGACAGAATATTCTTATATGAATGAAAATGCAACATTTTATTGTCTACCATCAAATTAGAATGTCTTTGTTTGAAAATCTTTTGTGTGTTGATGTAGCCTGATGTTGTTCAGGTTTTTTATTTTCCTTTAAAAACAGATTACAAGCTAAATGGTAGTAGTTAGGTAGAATTCTGAATAAAAGTTTAAACATGAGTATTTCATTTGTGTGCTTGTGCAGCTATGGAAAATCTGAAATTTTGCCTGGAGAGTCAGGGCAAATTTTTTCCAAGAATGTGGTCCTTGTGAGGTAGTTATGAGTTGTCAGAGCTTATGTGTTCATAGATAGTTCCTTTCTTTTATAATAAAAAAATAAGGTTTCATTTTGTTTGAATTAATGTCATTGAAAATGTGAGTTACATTTTTATTAAGATCACAAAAATTAATGTGTGTGTGTGTGTATATATATATATATACACACATAATTATTGAGTCAAGCATGACTATGAAAAATCAACATTGATAGTAAGTATACATGATACTGTATATTGAATTACTGAAAATAGGTGAGAGCTTCTCTGTGCTTAATCTTATTAGAACAAGTCCTACAGATAAGGCTGTCAGTGCAGCTCTGTTCCATATAGTACATGTGTATATAGGTACATGTCCTGTGTGGAGCTTATCAGAAGTTTAGCTGTGTAATTATAGAATAGAAGGTTTTTAAATGTTTTTGGCTTTCAGGCATGCTGTCATTTCTATTATTTAAATAATGGCTTGCATGTTTTTGGTTTTAGAGTGAACTGTTTGTTGTCCATAATTTTAATTTGTGTGGGAGGTGATATGTAGGTGTACTTTCATTACTAGTTCTGGCTTACTTCCAGCAGTGTTCTGAACTTTTCTAGTACTCAAGCCAGATATGCCTCAGTGCTTTAGTTTATTCAAGTATACAAAAGAAAGGTAATAAAGTTAGCTTTAACATGTAATTTGCTCCATCAAGGTTTAAGCAACAAATTCAGTTTTAGTTAAAGAAATATTAAGTAAATATTCTGTTATTATTTGCTCTGTTTGGATATATGTATTTTTCCATGTATTAAATTTTGTTTATTCACATTTCCTGACTTACTGATGTAATACAAATATATGAACACATAACTGTGATCATTTAGTAGTTTTACTTTAAATACAAATAATATAATAAAGACTTTTAATGTTTATGACGTTTTATCCTTGTTTTTTATCCAAGCATTTTTTACTGATGCATTTTGTTGTTGTTTTTTACTTTTTTAATCAGTATAATCATGTCTCTTTTTTCGAATCTGAAGATTTTTAAAACGTATAGATGTAGTCTAAAGCAGAGTTTTTTGTAGTTCTTACTTTCTTGCTTGTAAGTTACACTTGTAGAAAGGAAAATGTTTCATATGCTGACTAAGTACTGGATATATTACTCTAGCTATTAAATCTCTTCCTGTAGTTCTTTGTAATAATTAAATCCCCGGCATTTAAGTGTGATAATATTTAAGATGGCTGGTCTGTTATTGGAAATATTATTGAAGACTAATAGAATTATGCAGATATTATTATAAAGTAATTGAAAATTATTCAGAATATACAATACATAAGTATAAAAGACAAAACTCTATAACCTGAGCCCTTTCAAAAGGTGGACCTTTCTTAACCAGGGAATAAACTAGAAATGACTAAGTAAAGTTAAGTGTCCAAAAAGGAGGATTGACATCATGGCAGACACCATGACTACTTGGAAGTTTTTGATTAGCTGAATATTTCTGATTATTTTTGACAAGTATAATATTTTATTACTTACCCTTTTCCAGTATGTCATGAACTGAACATTATGTACATAAAGTTTATTTTGTGGAAGCACTGTTACAATATTTTTATGATAAAATATAGTATATACATGTAAGAGTTTCATGCATTGAACACAAATTGTTTTCAGTCATCATATCTGTTAGAAGTAAAAAAAAAATAAACACTTCTAAGAACTTTAGAAAAAGGTTTACTGTTTTGGGGGCTGAAAAGAGAAACTGATAATATTACATTTTCAGGTAAGATGTTTTTTTTTAAAGACTGTTCTGTATGCTCATGTGATTCTTAGGTAATGCTCAAGATGATAAGTAGAAACAAGCATTTAATATAAGTTAACTATAATATATTGAAAATACGCATGTACATATATGTGTTGTAAGTATTATATATATGTATATATACACACACACACACACCTACATATAAACACAGACAAAATTATATTATCTCTATCAATATATTTTTATCTTTCTATATCTATTTTTTATTATGAAAAAAATAATAACATTATGAGAATTATGTGGTTTTCTATTGTAGTTTCCTACAATATTAGTATTGTAGCTTCCATTTCTAGCTTTCCATAGTATGCATGAACAGATTACTACAGTAATTAGTCAACCTAAAATACTTCTAGGTTAATTAACTGAAAACACCTGTGCAATATTATATAATTATTATAAATAATATTGTTGAATGTACATATAACACATGATGAAAAATACTTTGCTTAAATATACATATTTTAGTAAATCATAGTAAAAATATTCCACAATTTATTTGTTGCTTATTATTAATAGTTTGTAAATCCTGAGCACCATGAATTTGTTTTTTTACAATGTGTATAAAATCACTGGAGCCATGTACACAGTTCAAAATAATTTCTGGTATGTAATCAATTAATAAGCTGTTTAATCATTACAAACATTTTGACATTTATATGCATATTAATGTGGTTACCATGAAGAAGAATATATACAATACATATGAAACATAGTTGTGTTGTACAGTTTAGTGGGGTAAGGTAGTAGCTTGTGTTTGCTATAAGCAACCTTGGGTATTCACAGCAGTGTGCCATGAGTTGGTTTTTCAGAACATGCTGTCATTTAAAATGTTTTGAGTAAATGAATTGCATTTCTTGTGTTCAATAATCTGTTATATGTTTGATAAAGTTTATTGAAATATAAATACAGATTCTTTTGATTTGACTAATTATAAAATAGGTGGTTATTAGCAAAATATGCTTTGTGTTTTGGATACAGTTTTATTGTTACTTTCCATGTATATTATTATTCAGTTATAACACCTTTATTATTTCTGAGGATGAATTAATATATATTTGACTATAAGAATACATTCAGATTATATTTTTAAAGTTACATTATAAAGACTGCACTGTTAGTTTTTACTCAAATCTTTTTAAATCTATAAAATGTGATTAGCAGATATAAGCTGTTTACTTTTAAGCTACTAATTTTCAGTCAGTTTAACTTCAAATGATTGCAGTTATATTGGTTGTTTTTGTTATTTCTTCATCCTTTATAGCAGAAACATTGTTCATACATGACAAAGTAATTTTTCTCTCCCTTTAGGAGCTGCGAGAACGAATGAAAGCTACTGAAGAGTTTCAAGGCAGTTTTGCTACAGCATTTCAAAATATCCAACAAAAAATAGTATGTGATCATGAATGCAGAAAAGCCCCTAGAAACAGAACAAAGTATACTATTAATGAGATTGTTCAACAGGTTCCTCCTACCTGTGGCTCTGGACATTTTAGAAGCAGTAGTCTAAAATTAGGAAAACCACATTGTTTTTCTTCTGTGCATCCTTCTTCAGATATTCTAAACAATGTATCTGCTGATTCAAAAGTAAGATTAACAATGGAAAGTGACAATAAGCAAGACAGTGGTTTGGATTCAGACTGTCGTGACCATGGTCAAGATAGTAGTCTAACACTTGTTACTGATACTTTTAACATGGTATGTGCAAAAAGAGAAAAAAGTCAAAGTGACAGTAATATGTTAGAGGCAGATGATGAACTTACAGCACTTCTGGATATTATTAACCAAAAAGGGCTCATGCTTAGGAAGCAGCTAGATAATTTAAGCGAAGAACATAATACAAAAGACAAAGATTATTTAATGAAATACCAACATGATATGTTATCCACCCACGAGACGAAAAGAAATATAGAAATGAAATTGAAACAAGTTGAAAAAGAAAAAAAATCCTTATGTGACAAGGTAATGCAGCTGGAAGTGGCTTGTCAAGAATTAGAAAGTGAGAGGAAGTGGCTTGAAGAAAGACTTGAAATTGCATTATTGGAAAAACATCACTTGGAGTTGCGTATTCATGGACTATATGTTCAGTATGTTAAAACTGATTGCAGTGAAACTTACCAATGCCCAGATGATAGGATTGCAGGATTGGGATTCTCAACTAAAAACAGTCAGCCAGAAAAACTGGTGGAATCAAAAACAGTTCTTACTAAAGCAAACAGTCAGCTTAAAATACCTTCTATCCTTAATGAAACAAACATTTTGGAACTTCAAAGACAGCTTATAACTTGTATAATGGAAAATGAAGTTTTACATGCTAAAGTTCATCAGTTAGAAGAAATACAGAATGAAAGAGGTGAGGGACTTGGGAAAAAGTTCAGGAGTGACATGAAACAGCTTCAGGATGAGAAGGAAGAACTCTACATTACATTACAAGCAAATAAGATAGAACTAGAAACTGTGCAAGCTAAAGTTGTAATGCTTGAGAATGCTCTCCAGGCTTTAACTCAAGAAAATAAAGAACTTAACAAACAGCTTGGTGAATCTCTGGAACAGTTTACTGCATATCCTAGATATAAACAACTTTGCAGACCAACATTGACATCGCAACTTTCAAAGACATATCCTGAATCACAAAGCCTCCCAGTATTCTTAGCAGTAGACAACAGGAATCCTACATTGAATTCTAGCCAAATATCAGGTAACCAGAATGTAAAAAAAACAAACTCTTTCTCCAGTTCAACATTTCTAGAAACTCAACCAGAAGATGTTAGACATTATGATATTATTACTTCAATGCAGCACAGGTTATCTTTAAGCAGTCATCACTCTTTAGATTCAGGAGCTCAAACTCCACCTCTTTGCACATCTAACCATCATACTACTATAGCATTATCAGATGTTAACAATTCTAACTCACCACAGGATTTTGACACATTGCTGTGTAGCTCTCCTGTCCATTACAAGTCCTTTGAAACACAGCCAATATTGGAAAAGGAAGGTTTTGTTCATCAGAACAGAATTTCATTTCCTATTTCTCAGTTCAAAGATGTTTATAATAACCAAACAATTTCTTTTAACAATAATGTTGTAGAAAATTTGGACCAAATCATACATTCAAAGCAAGTTGATAGTATTTGTAGTGAGTTTGATCCCCTACATAACAGTACATTTCAAGGAGACCCCTTGAGACAACAAGAATTCATTGACTCTCTAGACCTCTCTATACCCTTAAAACCAGTGAAGTCATCCCAGGAAAACAGACGAGATATGCCCTTTCCTCGTAGTGCTGCCGCTTATCTCTGTCAGCAGAGACTAAATCTAACCAAAGACTGGAAGTTAGACAGTGGAGTTGAAAAGCCATTTGAGACAAAGCAGATTGCCTTCCAGATTGCTGGTGAGAAAAATTCCAAAAACCTACAACACCAGCTTCAAAGCCTTCTGGATCGTCTTTCAGCAGCTGCTTCAGATGAAGCTGTCCTGTGATAGTTATTCCCGTGTATATATATTTGTATAATCAGGTATTTATGCTTTATAGTTTTACCAGGTTTTTAAATGTGTAGAGCCTTTCTTTTTTAATCAAAACTGGATTCATTAATTATAATGTAAACTGTAAGGAGAGTCCAAAGAATTGGAAAGTTCTGATATGTTTTATATTTGGCCAAAATAACGAATATTTTCATACACCATAAATGGCATTACATGTAGATTTAATATGCTCACACATTATTGTACATGCGGAATTTTTATCTGTATGCATACAAATAGACTTTAGATTTTTCTTGACTTTGTTAATAAGACTGTTAATTTGGTGTAATGGCATTTAATATGTCATTACTTGACAGTTATTAAAGATCTATGAATGATTTGTTATGGTTAATAACAATGTTGTGATAATTGATCCATGTTTCTAAAGAATGCCTAACATTTTTTCTTTTCAAATTTTGTCAGGAGGAGTGATGATTTGAAGTATTCAAGAAAATAGAAGTTATCATCAAGCTTCTATACATGTATAGTGCAGTTAAAGCAGCAAGTTTTAGTTACTAAGAATATGAGCTGATGTAATCGAGTCTGACATGGTAAAGCTTGCAAATGAGCTGTTCAGTTTGGCTGTTGATGTTTAGGTGATTACAGGTATAAAACTAACAGCTGACATCAGCACCATTCCTTACTTTGGGTTCAAAGTCTAATACTATTTTCTACAATTTTATGGGTTGAGGCTATAGAAATGATTATTATTATTTCATGGAAAAATTAAACATTTTAAGGCATGAACAGAATTCATGTAATTGTGATTTACTTTCTTCATGTGATCAAAATGTTAAGTGGAATACTTTTAGAGATTATGACAAATACCAAAATAACTTGTGCCCATTTACAGACAAGTATTGTTATTTGTTTTGTAAAGTTAACTATCATTAGAAAATAATGCAACTTACTTTATTATTACTTGATTTATTTCTCAACAAGACCAGCATTTCATGTTTTGTAATTCAGTATACTTGTACAATTTGAATGTTTGCACTTATTTTGTTGTTCAACTAACCTTCAATAAAAAAAAGCCCAAAACTATATGTATGTAAGTAAGTGCTTGTGTATTATAAATTACTTTGTAAATTGAATTTTAACTAGTTTTTTGTGTGAATTCAGTGACATTGGAGTAATAAAAGAAAACTTAACTTGCTCATTGTTACTGTTACATTATTAATATTTGAATCCAGATTGATTTATTTTCTGTCCTATGTTATGTGAAGTTTACAAATAGCTGAAGGGATTAGAGGAATAAGTGCATATTTAAAAATTTATGTCTAAATCGTAGAAGCTCACTTTTATGTATTTGAATGCACAAATGAAGGTAAAAAGTATTTGTAACTAAGGACATGAAGATGATAAGTGATATATTTATACAAGGATCTAAACATACTGAAAATATGTTAGTTATAAATCTTTTTTTCTTACCATGTATGAAATGTTTTTCATTTTTACATTGTTTGAATCTAATATTCCCCTGAAACTATCATTACAAGAGTATTTTTCCTACTGTGCCTTTCTCCCTCCATTTTTTTTAATATTTAGCCATAAAACTTTCTCTAAATCTTTACCCAAATTTTTGTTTTTGTTTTCCTTCAACATATTGCTTCACCAGGTTTCAAAAGAACTCGTATCTTAAACACTGTAATTCTGATAAAGTACTCTCCCTCTTCTCACAAGATTAGCTTTTTTCATTTTGTGTTGCCCTCTATATGCAAACTCTTTTCAGAAACTCATGCCACAAACCTTCATCCTCCCTCTGTTGGAATCCAAAGTTCCAACACGTCTCTCATGCAAATCATCATGCGTCACCTCTACACCAATAGGAGAGCAATAATATCACATGACGCATGTGACTCCCTCCACACGCCACAACCGAACTATCACTTCTCGTTTGGCAGTTTTCAAGTTCAGATGTTCTTTTTTACAATATTTAGTTACCTCAAAGTGGTTTATTTTTTTAATTTTTCATATTTTTCTTAACTTTATTTCCAACACTTTACAGTTGTGGAGTTAATATTTTAATAAAGCATTACTTCCTCTTGTTTCTCACTTATGAATTCCGAAGTTAGTCACCACTTCAGGTACTTCATCAGTATTTGATGCTGGGGGTATATTGTCGCTCAATCGCTGGGAGATTGAGCGGTATGTGAACCTACCTCACTTGCCTACTTCTGCCCCACTTCCTCCTTAGCCTTTTGGGCCAGGCCAGGCTGTAGACAATTTTGATTGTTTCCTCAACCGGAGTTTACCATGCCCTTCTTTTCACTACCTGATGATTCAGCTCATCCGTCATTGGTCTTTTCAGACTTTATCTATTAGGTATGTGATGTTTTGTCTCTTACACCTTTTTCCTATGGCCTTAGACCTTCCCTCTTACATGAAACTTCCTGACCCTGTTTAGTCTTTTCCCCTTCCCCCCGAGATTAGGGTTCACACAGACCGAATTGCCTCTCAGCTGGGAGTGGGTGCTAGTATGCCTTGTCCCACTTTGGATCAGTCTGCCTTTACTTACCATCGGGCGGACTTTCCTTTTCTTGACCAACAATTGTTGGGGTTAGTTTTTCTTGTTTGGGGGGGCAACAGAGGCTATTCATAGGAACCCTGAGGAGGTTTTCTGCTGACATCCCCTTCATCCTTCTGCATTGACTCATCTGTCGTCTTCAACTTTTACTTCAAACATGGTTTGTTTTTTGTTGGGACCCCTTGGCCCATGATGTGGTTTTGGCGCGGATCCATCTCCAGGCTCCTTATCTGAAGGACCTCCATATAACACTGTTTTTGAGACATGGTTTTTGTGTCTTTGGATTTGCGAGTGGGCTCAGCCCATCGACAGTCTAAACTACTAGCTTGGTAACTCGTTGTCGCAGTCGGGGCTGAGCATGGCACTGATTCCTGTCCCCCAACTTTCCCCTTCCTGTCCCATGGTGCCATGGCTTGATGATGCATGATTTGCCAACAGCAGTACCGGTGACTATGACTGAGCACAGCACTGATTCCTAACCCACCCTCCCACGGTGCCATGGTTTGACGATTTACTCGATGATGCACAATTTCCCAACAGCAGTACCAGTGACTATGTGGTCTGTTCAGACCCAGTGGAGGCTTGTCTATTGAATTTCATTCATCTGTGGAAACCTTTTCTTGCCAGTGTCTGGGTTAACAAGGTGTTCTTGGAGGGATTCGTTATCCATGTTCTCTTCCTTCCTCCATTATCCAGTGTTCCATCCCCTTCTCTTTGGGATCCCTTGACATGGCAGCATCTGTCAGAGCTGGTTCAGGACCTCATCACACAACAGGCTTTTGAACCAGCTCACTAGGTTCACAGGGGTTTTACTCTCACCTGTTTGTGGTACCCAAGAAGACCTGTTCATGGATGCATCCCTTCAGGGCTGGGAGTGCATGGATGGAACACCAGGAGGTTTTGAATTGTTGGTCTATGGATGAGAGTTCTCTACTCAAACTCCTGGCTGTTCGTCAGGCTTTGGAACAATTTTTTCTCTCTTGACAGCTGCCGGCTGGTTATTACCCATTCCAACAATCACGAAGGTGGCACTAGGTTCAGATCCCTAGGTTTTTCACAATGGATCTTCATTTTTTTGGGCCCACAAACATCACATTTGTTTGATGACGTGTCATATACCAGGTGCTTTCAATCTTGTAACCAATCATCTTTCCTGACTGGTTCTAGTTTATCCCATGGATTGGTCCCTGCTTCCTGCTGTTTTTTGGTGGCTCTGTTTTCATCTGGGTACACCCCATATCAATGCTACTGCTCTTAGTCACAAATTACCTCGGTTTTGGTCCTTGGTTCCCCATCCTCGAGCCTTGGCTGTCGATTCTTTCAGCCTGGATTGGTCTCATCTGTTTACTTCATCAGATGGTCTCCCTCAGCCATGCCACTCCATGCATGGTCCTTCTGATTGCTCCTTACTGGCTTGCTCAATCTTGATTTCCTCGGTTGCTCCACCTACAGGTGGTCTCTCCCCTTCTGTTCCAACCTACTCCATCAACTCCAGTCACCGATCCTCCATCCAGTGCCATCTGTCCTCCATCTTTACATCTGGCTTTTGTCAAGTCCTTGGCAAGGGGTTCCAGTTTGTCTTGAAGAGTAGCTTTCCATTTATCCCTTTCCATTTACCCTTCTTCTTCGGCCATCTATCATAGCAAATGGAGCATTTATCGCTCCTGGACATTGACTAAAGGTTTCCAGACATCTCACCCAGTGGTTGTCCATCTTGTGTTCTGTGTTGTGGGCTGCACTACAAATCACTCTACACTATGGAACACATCCTCACTTGCCCACTTTCCATCACTTCTCGCACTTCCCACCCATCCTCCCCACAATCTTCTGGTGCTGCCAAACTTTGAAGTGATAGTTTGGTAGTGGTGTGTATCACATGCATCAAGTGATAGTAGTGCCCTCCTATTGGTGGAGAGGTGACGCATGATGATTTGCATGAGAGACGTGTTGGAACTTTGGATTCCAACAGAGAGGGAGGATGTATCACATGCATCAAGTGATAGTAGTGCCCTCCTATTGGTGGAGAGGTGACGCATGATGATTTGCATGAGAGACGTGTTGGAACTTTGGATTCCAACAGAGGGAGGACGAAGGCTCGTGGCAAAAGTTTCTGAAAAAAGTTCGCATATAGAGGGCAGCACAAAACGAGAAAAGCTAATCTTGTTTTACCAAAGCTATTTTAGTTTTTCAAGATTGTTCCTGAGGTTGAATGTAAAACAGACAACTCAGTAGATTGACTAGCAAGTTCCTATTTTTAATTGATTCCTTTTTTTTCTGTGATACTCTTGTATTTCTTTTCTTTTTCTTAGATAGTGAAAAATAATACTAGCACATCTTTACTTAACCAATATTTTTACTTAGGATTGTTGAAGTTTTTTGCTTTGAGCATAAGTGACTTCTCACACTGAGACATTGGTTTACCCATCTCCTGTAATTTTTTGAAGTTTCAAATTTGTGCATTTCTTCTTGGCCCGGCATGGCCAGGTGGTTAGGGTACTCGATTCGCAATCTGCGGG